AAAAGCCTATAGCTAATCAAATGGAACTTAGCTGAATGCCATAAAGATAAAAAGTTGGAGTTTGAAGTAGAACACATGTTGATGTTTGAGAGTTACTATCAAATTAGTAAAATGATGAGATCTGGTGCTTTAAAAGGAGAAATAAAAATGATGTCTATGATGAAAATTATAGTAAAAGTCATGTCTAAATGAGACATGAGTAAAAATTAAAATGAATAAATGAACATAAAATAATAATATGATTTGCACTTAAACTTTTTAAAATATTCCTTCTCAGTTTATATTGCTCCCCATTTTCTTACCATGCCTCTAGTATGACCCATCTATTGTGTAGACATATGCCAGGAAGCAGTATGAAATCAATATGCTCAAGGATTGCAATAAGAGCAATATGACACTTTATTTTGTTAACTTGTATCTTTTGTAGTTACTTGTGGCAAATATTTAAAAATTCACCTTTGTTAAGTCCCTGATTATTTGCAAATTCATCTTCACTAAGATTTTTAAATTAGTACATAAATTAATGTGTTTCATTAGGGAATACTCGTGCATATAAGTAACTATTCTTTGTTCCCATTTGTCATCCTTTCTAGTTATCCTTTCTTCATCTCCATTCTTCATCTCCAGCTCTGGAGGATCTCATTTTTTTCTTCAACTAGTTCTCCCTCATGATCTGAGAGCAGAGAAGGGTAATGGTTTTCTTGGTAAGTGTGAAAATAGCATTGGCTTTCCTTTCACCAGCTTTGGAGTTCTATGGGAAGAACCAGATTGCTTTTTCAGGTTTCACTATCAGTTGGGTCTCTGTCATGTTTTAGTTCTGTACCAATGTTTTATCCTGTAAGAAACTGTATCTAAGTTTGTCAGACCTCATTGAAAATCAAATGAACTTTGGATATTCTATTTTACCATGAGACTGTCTTCTTAACTATCTACTACAAATTTAAATAATGAATGAGAATTATATGATCCTTGCTTTCTAATTAAAAGCCCACATTTTTTAGTGTCACCAGAGCCTAGACACTAAGTAGCTATTTGTAGGGAAACCAACATGAGTTATCATTGCTGCCAAAAACTTCATCATGCCATTTTAACATCCATACCATTTTGCTTATCTGTTATTTACTCTCAATTTATATTTCAGTTTGAGATAAACATGTAAATTCTCATATATTTACATAAACAACAGAATGATGATATTTTAAGAATGTATTTTATTCCATAAAAGTATATAAGATATAAGAAAATGTTCATACGAATTCAGAGAAATCATATAGTATCTCAGTTACATTTGGTGGCAGGAAGCGTTGAACACTGAATAACAAATGGTGACAATTTTTTTGTCTTCACTATTTAAGTGGAACTATACATATGTCAACAAAACATTATGGATATCTATGACACATAATACTACATGAGAGTATTGTTTTTTCTTTTTCTTTTTCTTTTTTTCTTTACCTGTGATGAAGCCTCTATGTTCCCTTTCGTGTGTTTCTCACATGGAAAAAAAATGAGCGTAGCTTATATGTTTTCTCACCTTTTGAGGATGTCTCTCGGGAGATGCCAATCAATACTTTGAATAATCCCAGAGCATTTCAGGGTAAAACTAAATGTCTAGAGGATGCTAATTAACAAAGCAAACTTATGTGAACTAGTTGTAATGATTCATTACAATATATATATATATGTATATATACTTACATAATATATGTAATATATTTATATATAACATATAACTATATATGTATATATATATATATATAACAATTAAATAATTTGAAACTTCGTTTTCAGATAGTTATAGAGAATATAGCCCAGTAATCATTCTAATACTTTGGGTAAATAAAACTGCAAATGTAAAGCACTTCCATACCAGAAGCATGAGGATATCCGTGAATTCATCTTCCTATAAAGTAAACAGAAAATTATGTTAAACACTTTATTATTTATTTTAATAAAACTTATGAGGAGCCCCCAACTTGATCAGGCCCTCTGGATAAGTGAGACAGTTGATTAGCTTGAACTGCTTGGGAGGCATCCAGGCAGTAGGACCAGGACCTGTCCTTAGTGCATGAGCTGGCTGTTTGGAACCTGGGGCCTATGCAGAGATACTTTGCTCAGCCTGGGAGGAGGGGACTGGACCTGCCTGGACTGAATCTATGAGGCTGAGCTGAATTCCCAGGGGAGTCCTTGCCCTGGAGGAGATGGGAATGGGGGGTGGGCTGGGGGGAGGGCAGGGGTGGGGTGGGGTGGGAGGAAGGAGGACAGGGGAATCCGTGGCTGATATGTAAAATTAAATCAAATCATAAAATAAAAAAAAAAAACCTAAAAAAAAAAAAACTTACGAAATTACCACAGTTTAGCAACAGTCTGGAGTGCTTGTTAAAAAACCTGCAAAATCTTGTAAGAATAGTAAAATTTGTAGTAATGTTTATTTAAATTAGTCATATTTAACGACAAGATACAGTGGATTAAAGACAGATACTAGGCAGTAGCAGTGACAAAGTAGTGAACTTCGAGCAGCTGTCTGAGATAGAAGATCAACTGCTGTCAGTTTGAAGAAGTCATGTTTATGGTCCTTATCTTCACCTTACTTGACTAATTCAATGAAATAGTCTTATACCTGAAATAAAGGAAAAGAACACTATGCAAATCTTATTTAGGTTGTGTATACACACATACACACACATATGTATAGCAATAACAATTAAAGAAGAAGTCATGAATTTGAAAGAATGTCAGAGTGGCATCAGGAATTGCAGGAGAGGGAGGGTCGTGAAAATAATATAATGCCAGTGCATTCATGTGAAATTCTCAAAATATAAAAGAAAACATCATTGACAATGCTTTTAATCATAAACACTCTTTAGGACAAAAGTCTGGGTCAATAACTAAAGATGAATCTTATGAAGTTATTCAAAAGGGGATTTAAGAATTTTCTCATATTGAGGAAGGATAGTAGGCACACTTACCTTTAGGTATTAGGTTAAGATTTAGAATGTAGTGAGAGGTTAAGCTGCTGTAGGAAAGTAGCATAGACGGTTGCTTTCTAAGATTCATGACATCACTAGCCCTGAGAAGCTATGTTTCCAGTACAAGACTAGTTTACTTCTTGCTGAATGTGCCTTAAATCCAATTCGACAGCTATTGGTTGCCACCAACATGTGGGTGGCATCAATGTTAAATTTTAAAACTAAGCACATGATTTTTTTGTGCTAGAGAGTTGGGTCCATTCTCTTACTGAGGCTGGCTGGAATAGCCAGAAAACTAGAAAGTGGAGGTTTAAACAGAAATGTCAGCCCCTAAGCATTTGTCTATGTTTCTCAGCTATAAAGAAATACCTGCCACAGGACCACTTATAAGGAACAGAAATGAAGTTCCTTATATTTGGGAGCTTTTAAACTCATGATCAAGATGTCTACATGTATGATGTCTATCCAAAGTCTACCTCTCATAGACAACTGGCTAATTGTTTTCATATTGCCTAATGTTTCCTCATGTATTATGTTAATGACCCTACTTTCACTTATATTGTGTAAATGCTCTTCCTACAGGACTTAATTAGGTCATTAAGGACCAACCTCTATATTATCACTTTGTCTATTGTCTTAGTCACTTTTATACTGCTGTAAAAAGTACCACAACAAACACCACTTATACAAAAAAGAGTTTATTGGGGGATTGCAGTTCATGACCATGATGGTAGGGAGGATGACAGCAGGCAGGCAGGAATGGTGCTAGAGCAGTAGCAGAGAGCTTACATTTTGATCCACAAGAGGTAAGGAAAGCTAACTGTGAGTCACACGAGGTTTTGCAACCTCCACGCTGACTCCTAGTCACACACCTACTTTAATAAAGTCACACCTCCTTATTCTTCCCAAATAGTTCTACCAACTGGGGACCAAGAATTCAAATATATTAGCTGATAAGGACCATTCTCATTAAAACCACTACAGTTATTAATTGGAAACACATGAATTTGGGGGACACATCAGACCACAACAGTGTTGATTGTGTGACCTATGAACAGATACCAACATAGGACAGAATACTGAATTCATGGATGGAGGAACTTGGAAAATTTCTGACTGATTACCAGCTTATGTCCAAACCAAATGCACAAATATTACTATCAAGCACATACAAGACAAAATGTAGACTTTGTGTCATAAAATTCACTAAGCAAACGAAAAAATAGCAATGGAAATAATACTAAAAGCACCAACTCTAGTGGTGGTGTTGGTGGGGATTCAACAGTGTGTGTGTGAGTATTATTTCTGTAAATTATTAAAGCTATAATCTCCTGGTAATTCTCCTAAAGATCTTAAGAATATTCAATATAGACAAACAAAACTCAGAATGCAACTACAGACTTCTGGAGATCTTTTCAAGAAAATAGGACCAGAAATTGCTGAAAATGCATGACATTCAGAAAATAAAGGGCAAAATATAATAAATGTCATCCATCATCTAGAATTACTTTAAAATAAATAAATAATATTGAAATTAAATATAAAAGTTCTGTAGGATAGAAAATAAGAAAAATTAAAATTATACAATGTTCAAAGACACAATCTCTACATGGCATTGACTTTGTTTGCAGTAATTTTAGGTTTAAAACATAAAATGAAAACAAAATTAAGCAAACAAATGTTCAAACACATAAAACAAAAGGAAACAAAAATCCCTGCAAATCTAACAACCAAACACATGTTACAGAAATATAATTAAGCATGTGTCACCACTTGTATAAGATTAGTTCAGTGGAAATGCTAAAGATATATTGAATCAAAAACTATAAATGTTGGAAGGAAAGTGACATTAATGGAGTTCTGTAACTACTTAAGAACTATTTTATTTGACTACAAGGGATACATTACAATGTTCTATATATTATCATGAGTTTTTCTTTTTTGTGAATCAAAAGGAATATACTGCTATAGATACTGGTATTGACTTATGCTTTCTTTACCACATTTTATTAAAACACTCCATGTTATATATTAAGTACAAAGTTTACTTAGGTCCTTAAAGACTCTTAGAAAGGCATTTTTCACTTCTTTGTTTCTAAAGCTGTAGATCAAGGGATTAAGCATGGGGATCACTAAAGTATAAAACACGGATGCTATTTTATCAGTTTCAAATGAGTGAGTGGATTTGGGCTGTAAGTACATGAAGAGTAGAGTCCCGTAAAATACTACCACCACTGTCAGATGAGAACCACAAGTTGAGAAGGCCTTTTTCCTACCCTCTGCAGAATGCATTCCATATATGGCTAGTAGAATCAGAAAGTAAGATACTAAGACTACAGAGAGAGAGGAGATCAAATTAAGTGCTGAAAATAATATGATCAATAATTCTATATCCCGTGGATTTGAACACAGTAAAAGTAACATGGGGACGTTGTCACAGTAGAAGTGGCTGATGACATTAGAGCCACAGAAAGTCAATGTAAAAATCTTACTAGTTATCAGCACAGCCTGGAAGATACTGTAGAGGTATGGAATGACCACCAGCACATGGCAACGTCTCTGAGACATGATCGCACTGTAGAGCAAAGGGTTGCAGATAGCCACATAGCGATCATAGGCCATGGCAGACAAGATGAAAAGTTCACTGATAATGAAAGTGATGTAGAATGCCATCTGTATGGCACAAGCATAGTAAGAAATGACATTTTGATCCACCACAAAATTCACCATCATCTTTGGGTAAATGACAGTACAATTGCCGAGATCAATGAAAGCCAGATGTCTGATAAAATAATACATAGGTGTGTGAAGGTGAGAATCCAACTCTGTCAAAATGATCATGCTCAGGTTGCCTATCACGGCGATTCCATAGGTGACTAGGAAGATCCCCAAAAGAGGAAGCTGCAGCTCAGGCCTGTGTGTGATTTGTGTCAGAATGAATTCAGCTGGCACTGTTGAGTTCCTGTGGCTCATTTCAACCTTCTGAAAAGATACACAAGTGCCATCAACTTTTGCATAGAATCATTCAAGCAAATTCAAAGACAAGATAAAAAGCTGCAGTTAATGGCTCAGAGAAAAATGATTTTAGTATCTGATTCTAAATGTTAAATAAAGTTTGGAAGGTCTACTTCCTAAAAGGGGAGGTCCTTGTGAGATACACTCAGAGTTATCATTTATATTCTTACTAGAATCAGTAAAATAAAATTTGCATTCTAATGACTGTGAGAAAAATGATTTTATTATTTGCTCAGATACTGGGAATGCAATCATTAGATTCTTGTGTAGAAATATTGAATATATTTTATTCATCTAGAAGACTACAATTTTTCTAAATAAACTTTCTCTTATGTATGATAATTCTCATGGACTTTAAATAAGCTTAAATATAATGGTGGATACAACATGAAACTAATGACATTTCAATTTAGTTTTGTGTTTGGACATTTAAGGTGCTATGTAGGGCTTGTAATAATTGGCATAAAAAAGGTATCACTATGTCAAACTTCTAAAGCAAGCTATGTTTTTCTAATATCAAATGGTTGGTCCTGAAAACGTACATAAAATTTATATGGAACAAACAGGATATATCTAAGAATACATATACACATATATTATTGTCATAGACATAGTTATTGCATATATATGCATCATATACATATATGTATATGCATATATTCATTTAATAAATATTACTGAAAAGGAAACCATGAATTTGAAGGAGAGTGGGGAGGTTTATATGGGAGGATTTGGAGGGAGGAAAGGAAAAGGATAAATGTAATTATATTATAGTCTAAAAAATAAGAGTCAATTAAAATCACTTCCTCTTTCCATTCTGAATTTTGTCCATTGTATTTTTGCTAAAATCATGAACCATCTCTACAAACATTTGTGGGGTCAAATTAAATGGTCAATAGTTGATGAGGCTGTTTTGTGATAACTACTGGGAACATTTAAAAGCTTGAAAATTACTAGATATACCATGAAACAAAGTCATATTCCAATGGAGAACTGATGTTAAAAATACTTGTTTTTCGGTATGTGAATGTGAATCTGAAATTTCATTAATAAAATTAGTATAATATAATGTGTTGTTTGTACTAGTCACTTACTAAAACTGAATTACAAATTTTCTACTCTGAATAAATATTCTTTATTTCTTCAGTGGTATGTATAACTTCTGTGTTTATTCCATTCATGATATATATATATACATATATATATGTATATATATATACACACACACATATATATATATCAACAAAATTTAAAAAAAGGAAAAGAAACAAAAACACAATAAGACAAAAAGTACTAATTTAAAAAGAAAGTAGTAGAGGATTTAAGACACACAAAAGGGGAATATTTTCTTTATAGTATATGTGGTTTATGTTGTTATACATGGATCATTAATATTTAATTGTATATACTTTATTAATACATAACACTATTAAGACAGACATCATGATGAACCACTTTAACACAGTTTTAAGCATTCATTAAGCTTCATATTAATAATTAATTTATTTTTAGAATTTTACAACAGAGTATTTAGAATATATGATTCCTAATATTTCCATATCAAGTACCATTAACATGGAAAACTGGTAAAAAAAATCAAATGCTCTAATTAGTGACAGGAAAACTAATTCAGTCTAATGTTTTGAATGTACCTTCTGTCAAACTCCGAGTTGCCACCAGGAGATATAGACACAGGCAGCTGCAATTTTCAAAGAAAGAGGAAACTGGGTATTAAAAGTCTCATATAAAATACACAATAGAGTAGTAGAAATATATTGCCTAGGTATCAGGTAGAAACTTCAGGAAGGCTACATTAAGACCTCAAATTACAATTTGGAACAGTAGCAATGTAGTATAATCTATGGTGGTTAGGAGCAATCACAGGAATCAACTTAATCGGTGTTGGGTTTGGCTTTCTGATAAAGAGGTCTGGGGAAGAGGGTGACTATCTATTGCTGGGATACCTTCCTAGCTGAAGTTGTCTGCTGCTGTTGAGTGCTACTCTTATTTAAAGACCCTTCTTTGCTCATAAATAACAACAAAAAAACCCCTACTTCTAATTGAAAATTTTGATTTTAATTATCAGGACACAGAGACTGCTATATTATTGTGGTATGAGATGAGTTGGACTGAGTAAAATAATTCAGAACTGGGACAGCAATTTTCTTTCTCTTTGATGTGTCTAACTTGTTCCAGCAATTCCTCAAGCTCATTCCTTAAGACTGCTTTCATTTTCAGTTTCAGCAATTATATCCTGAAGATGTCTAGGTTTCATTACTGGTCTAGTCTTTCTCCTTGACAAAGAGAATCCCTGGTTTCCTTTGAGTATCTTAAGATACACAAGCAAAACAGCCTCACACAGCGTTAACCTTAAGGCTCATAGAACACAAAAGCTATGAAGAGGAGGCACTGAGTTTTCAATCGTATGTGTGCTGATAACAATTAAGAATTAATTAGTGCTCACAGTTTTCTCAGAAGCTTCACAACTATTTAAAATCACTATATTTTTCTTCATTTGTTCAGTGTTTACAATGTCTGATACTAGAAAAAAATCAGATGTTAAGCAGTTTTGTGGGACATTAAAACAAATGCTAAAAGCCTGTGAATGTTTGTGCAGGTGATATACAAAATTAAAATGATTTTCACTTTATGAAATTGCATGAAATACCTTAAATACTTCATTTTAAAGTGGTGGTTTATATAGTAACACTGAAATTACATGTTATTTATAAAAACTGGGTAAAACATACTGATTATCCCTTTTCATTTATTTGAAAATCAAATGAAACCACACATCTTATTTTTTACTTGGAAACATGTTATTAATGATTTTAACTGGTGAGATCAATGATATTCTTATTTTTTAATTGTATTTTCCACTTGCAATATCTAAATCTCATATTCACCTCTCAAAGAGCATGCAGCAGCTGTTCAATTCATAGAATTTCATATATTCTCCAAAGAAATACTAATGTGGGTGATAACAACTATCAAAGCAGATATTTACCTTCTGTAATATACCTGAGAGGCACAGCTCTTGCAGACAGTGAAAGAATCAGTAGGCTCTAAGAGTCAATGAAGACTATGAGGCTCCAGTTGCCCTAAGACCTGTGACACTTCCTACTCACAAAGATCCTGATTTCCTTCTCCAAAATTATTCTTCCTTTTGCTCCAGAGAAGGAAATTTAAGGTTCTCCTCATTATTTGTGATGTTCCCAGAGGTGATAGCATATAATTTGTTCAGTTTATTATGCTTAAATTATCTAAGAGATTTTTAAACAAAATTGCATTGATGTCATTCAAGCTTTTCCCTAGTGAAAAATCATAGTCAGCTCATAAAAAGAATCAAAGCAACAAACTGATCTGAAGATTTCCAGGGAGACCTGAAGGATTTATGGGCACTGACTGACTAGGTTACAAAGTCAAGTATTGAGGCGTTAATGGAAAACACTGTAGCACCAGTTTATTTGTATTAAATGGAGAAGTATCATGCTGGTCATGGCTTTTTAAGTGAGGTTGTTATCACACAAAAGATTTTGAATGTGTTTTTCTTTTTTTTTTCCTTTTTTAAATTTTTTATTTTATTTTATAATTTAATTTAATTTTACATATCAGCCACGGATTCCCCTGTCCTCCCTCCTTCCACTCTCCCTGCCCCCGCCCTACCCCCAGCCCACCCCCCATTCCCATCTCCTCCAGGGCAAAGACTCCCCTGGGGATTCAGCTCAGCCTCATAGATTCAGTCCAGGCAGGTCCAGTCCCCTCCTCCCTTCACCCAGGCTGAGCAAAGTGTCCCTGCATAGGCCCCAGGTTCCAAACAGCCAGCTCATGCACTAAGGACAGGTCCTGGTCCCACTGCCTGAGTGCCTCCCAAACAGTTCAAGCTAATCAACTGTCTCACTTATCCAGAGGCCCTGATCCAGTTGGGGGCTCCTCAGCTATTGGTTCATAGTTCATGTGTTTCTACTAGTTTGGCTATTTGTCCCTCTGCTTTTTCTAATCGTGGACTCAACAATTCTTGCTCATATAATCCCTCCTCTTTCTCGCCTATTGGACTCCCGGGGCTCCACCTGGGGCCTGGCTGTGGGTCTCTGCATCTGTTCCAACAGTCATTGGATGAGAGTTCTAGCACGACAGTTAGGGTGTTTGGCCATCCGATCACCAGAGTAGGTCATGCATAGTAAGTTGTCACTGGTTTTGGAAGGAGACAAGAGAAATGGATGCTCTCACAGCAGAGCTGAAATACATTATATGCATGTGATTCATCCTAAGCTTCTTTATACTTATAGACTTTTTCTTCTCATGAGTAACTAAACCAAAATTGATAACTGTCAGCATGGCACAGCTTTGTGTTTCCAGGTGCTCACCGACACAGAAGGATTATTGCTGTTAATGATGACCAGTGTTGCTCACTGTTAACTCTTAATTTCATAATATGGTCATGAGAAAATGTAAAGTTCTGATCATTGTGTTGTGTGTAGGGAAATGACCATCTCACTGAAACACACTATTGTATATTCAGCATATTCAAGAAGAGTTGCTCACAATGTAGGAGATAGATCTACATGAACATATTCATAACTGATTGCTTCACATCAGCAAAGTACTTCACAAGCAGGAAGCACAAAGTATGCCTGTGAAATATATCAGCCTAATGTGTAAAAGCTGACATAGCCACAAATGTGCTCAGATGCAAGACAGTCCCAATTGCTGCAAATTTAATTCAGTCTTTGATCCCTACACCAGATCCCTTAACTCATCCCTTTGTAACTTGTACTGTCCCTTACTCTTACTTAGCATATTCATTTTCCATACTCATCGTTTATTCATCAATACAAATAAAATACATTCTGCAAAACTGAATCATGTCAATTTTGCAAGTAAAATATGGATTTCTCTGAAGGAAGACTGATATTAACTCATTCATTCATTGACGTGTTTAATCTCAAGTAGAAAATGGGCATGTTTAAGACTGAATGTAAGTATATGTAGAACTCCTTCATGGTTAGTACTTATCCAAGAGACATTCAGAATACAGTTGATGCTGCCAATCACATTAAATATAACTTTACCAAATTATACTTTACCATAATATTTAACACCTCAGGAACATATGTCATATCATTTTCTGAAGTTGTAGATAAAAATGACAATATAAAATAATAAGGATATAAAACATAGAAGCCAATTTTTCAGTGTCAAAAGAATTACTGGACATGAGATGCAAAACCTCAATACCAAGAAATTTTGCAGTGTAATATAGGAGTAGAGTTTATTTTGATAAGCACCTACACTTATTGACATTTTGAATCACGGAGTTAGGTCATAACTTCAATCAGTGAATGATATTGGTCTGCAATAAACAATAAATGGGTGTTTGCCCTGGAGAAGATGAAAAATCATATTCATGCTGATCAGAATTGAAACTACAAAGATGGTGAGAAAAAAAGATAACAAAGCCAGCAAATGTGACTGATGTAAATGCTCATTCGAATAAGGTTGTTCACCGCAAGCACATTGTCTTATTAAATACTGGCTTAGAAAAACTCTGTGACTCAAAATTCTGGTTTGCTGAAACCAAACTCACAGAGATCCTCCTGCCTCTGCCTCCCGAGTGCTGGGATTAAAGGTGTGTGCCACCACTGCTGACTGTACAGTTACTTTTAAGGGTTTCTCTGCCAATAGAGCCAGTAGGTTACAGCTCTCAATGTAACTGTCGCTACAGAGTTGTGCAGGGCTGAGAAACAGAGTGCATTATTTATTTCAGAATTGTTGTTGCTAAATAACTACTCTCTATTTATTTAACACAACAGTTGAATGCCTGAAGAAGTTTCAGTGGCTTTATTATATGTGAATGCATCTGTTTCTCCTCACAAATTGCTTTACTGCTGCATTTTTTTTTGTTCGTTTGCTTTAAAAATTAAACTGCAGTGTTTCCTGGAATGGATATTCAGCTTTGCTTAGCAGTAAAAATGTGAGACATCTTGAACACTCTAATTTCGTGCTACATATAATTTCATAGGAACATTGGCTAATATAGTAGTTGAGAGATTGGCAGCACAGTGTGTGTAAAAAGCTTGCAATGTGAGAATAGATTCAAACAAGTGAATATCAGACATTTTTGGATTCTTACATTAGACACCAATAAATTAAAAACCAAGTTATTTATTTTTACCTATTCCTCATTTTAGAAATGTCTACTGCATATTCGTATACTACTTCCCTTGGTTAACTCTTTTAACCATAGAAGTCATTCAAACAGGAAATGCCTTGCTGCTGTTTGTTTTAAGCACATTTCTTTTTATTAGATGATAATTCATTTTGAGGAACAGTTTCCTTCATTTGGAAGCTGTGTCTGTCAATAACATTCACTTGGAATCAGCTGAAAGCTGTACTATGTATTTTAAATGAGCCATGATAAATTAGAAATGAGAAATAAGAACCCAGAGGACTGCTTTAAAGCATTGTGGGTATTGTCAGCTCATCAGACACTAACTAGAGTAACTTGAATTATGCATCTCTTTGAACATCACAGACACTTTGGTGTGGGTAACAGTGTTTTAGGCATTTGTGCTCATTTTTAATGACTGTTACTTAGTGTATCCTACAACTATAAATCTTAATTGAGATATTTTGAAACGGTCGTGTGCATGTTTGCCTTATATCATAAAAATAGTTATAACTTGATTTTTGTCCTGCCATTCACTGTAAACTTTCAGGGTCCTTTCATTTCTGTTCAGGAAATCCTGTAGTTTATTGTTGTTATTTAACAGTATTAAGTGAGTTTTTGTATATTTCATTTTAACTTTATTTGTGAATAGTGATTGTGGCATGTTTGGGATGTTATTTTAATATTTCATAATACAGAAATTTTAATTTTTAAAAAAAAGTTCTGGAAGAAACAGATTCACATATAATGGTGAATATCAGATCACTAGTGCTTTTCACATTTGTCAACTGGTTTTATGTTAAACTTTGTAGCCTAACTGCTGTTACTTATAACTGACAGACATATGTATTAACATTGTACTTTGAAGGTTATAAATATTATGTGAAATTTCCTTCATTCTGGTTTGAAATTTATAATAACTAAATCTCTGGGTTATATAAAATGTGTAAAAAAAAAAGAAAAACTCTGTTGATCGAAATACCACTGGGTGAAATGGATTTCATGTGCTATCATCTGGGGAATATTAAATAAAGAAAAATAAGATGGATGTAACATTTTTGACATTTGATTTTTGAAAATACCACTGTTATTTACAAAATATATTAAATACTGTCAAAGATAGAGGTAAAAATTGAACATAGGTTACAAAGAAGATTGACTTTATTAGGACTTAAGGTGTTACTAAAAACAGAAAAATAAAAAGGATTTGAAATTTGGAGGGCATGTTAGGGAAAAGTTGGTGGAAATGGGGTGAACCATTTGATCACATTTCATTGTATACATGAATAACAATTTCAAAGAATAATCTAAACATCAATAAATAAGTTATTAAGCTAAGAAAGCAAAATTTTCAAATATTTTAAGAAGCTAAATTCCTCGTATGTAACTGGGAAGACCACATGTAAAATCATGTGTCCTGCTACTTTCAACATTCAGAGGAAGATATCTATCCAAAAAAAAAATCAATAACACTAAAATTAGGTAACCTTGAAGAAGTTAGTGATAGACAGATGAGTACTTTTAAATACATAATGCCAAAATAAGAAAATACTTGTAACAATACTGGATTTATAGTTAAAACAGAAAAAGTTAAGTATAAAACCTTAACATTTGCTTTTTTCATATATAAAATAAACTATACACTGGCACTTCAATATCAGCTGTTTTCTTTTTTGTTTGTTTTTGTAACGGCTTGAGAAATATTATGGTGATGCAATCACACTTCAGCATTAATAATGTGTTGTATTTGAGTGAAAGAAGAAGAGACAAACCTGCTGTCACATACAAAAAAGAGTGAGTAGGGCCTCAGAGACAGCTCAGCGGGAAGAGGCTCGCTGCTTCAATATCTCTATTGATTAGTTCATAATTTGCCATAGCTCCAACAACTGTGGGATCCAACATCTCTTGCCTTCATGAGGGAATCTACACTTATGTACACACACACAAACACACACAATTGATCACATACACAAAATTAAAATGTTATAAAATACATCTTTGAAAAAGTAACAGCAGCATAGATGGATATTTATAATAAAATAACCAGAAAAACACTTTTACTAAAAGTGAATGTTTTCAGAATGAGTCTTTAACATTTATTAGTTTATATCTGTGTGGCAGACATGTTCTCTGAAAGTGTCAAAGACACCATTTTTTATCATATTGCTTTATTTATTAATACTACAAAACAGTGAAGATAGATGTGCCCCTCCCCCCAAAAAACACTAGCAAAAGAAAATATAAGATGTTGATATAGAGTTTACCATTTATCACCTTTGGTAACATATAAGCTTGTATCACTAAATGAAATATTTATTCTGAAGCAAAAAATAATAGTAAGGATTCAATATTAAATTGTGATTTAAACTATTACAGGGAGCTTGAGTACATATAAGTGAAGAAATATCTGTCAACATGAACTATAATACATTTTACGTGGGGTTAAATTATGCAACTATTTTAGAAATGTTATCACAGGACAGTCACAGTTATCAAAGATTACTATAGGATTATTTAATACTGGACAATACCAAGTCTTTATAGATTCTTAAAGACTCTATGAAAAGCATTTTTTACCTCTTTGTTCCTTAAACTGTAAATCAAGGGGTTAAGCATGGGGATCACTAAAGTATAGAACACAGAAGCCATTTTGTCAGTTTCAAATGAGTGAGTTGATTTAGGCTGCACATACATGAAGATTAGAGACCCATAGAACACCACCACCACTGTCAGATGGGAACCACATGTGGAGAAAGCCTTTTTTCTACCTTCTGCAGAACGCATTCGGAATATTGTTAACAAAATCAGTATGTAGGACAAAAGAACGACAAAAAGAGAAGAGATTAAATTAAAGGCTGAAAACAATATAGTCAACAATTCTGTCTCTTGGACTTGTGAACAGATCAAAGGTAGCAAGGGGACAACATCACAATAGAAATGGCTGATGACATTAGTGCCACAGAAAGTCAAAGTGAAATACTTAATAGGGAACAGCAGAGCCTGGAAGGTGCTGTAGAGGTATGGAATGGCAACAAGTGTGTGGCAGCGTCTCTGAGACATGATTGCACTGTAGAGCAGAGGGTTGCAGATGGCCACATAGCGGTCATAGGCCATGGAAGACAAGATTGAAAGTTCGCTGACAATGAACATAATGAAGCATGCCATCTGTGTGGCACAAGCATAATAGGTGATGGTATTTTGATCCACAACAAAATTCACCAGCATCTTGGGGCAGATGGCAGTGGAATTTCCAAGATCAATGAAAGCCAGGTGTCTGATAAAAAAGTACATCGGGGTGTGTAGGTGAGAGTCGACCTTGGTCAAAATGATCATGCCCAGGTTTCCCACCACGGTGATTGCGTAGATGGTGAGGAAGACTGCAAACAGAGGGAGTTTCAACTCAGCACTCTGTGTGACTCCCATTAAGATGAACTCAGTAGGCATTGTTGCATTTTGTTGGCCCATTTTGTTGATCCAGAATTAACTCTTCTTGAAGAAACTATGCAAAGATTTATTAGATCTTTTTCATTGTCATATAAACACTGTAGTAGTTATAATTAGAACAGACAATTTATTCACAAAATAGAAAACACATGTAATTTTTACATATTTTTGAATAAAATAAAATTTTGCTTTCCTGAAATAGAGAAAATGTATGAAGTACATAAAGGAATAGGAATGGTTAAACTCAAGACTCAGCAAGAGTTGATATAAATACATAGAAAACAAAGCCATGTAAGTAATAAAAATCCATTGTTGTAAGAGGCACATGGTCTGTCGTAGCAGATTTCCATTCATTCTGAAAATTCATACACAATCTTTATTTTCTCTGGGCTATGGAACTGTCCAATGCAATCACACAATCATGTAATCATTTAACTACTGTATAATAAGGATTTAGCAGTTTGTCTTTTAACTATAACTGTCATATGGAAGCATTAGCCCATCCCACTAAAGTGATTATTGTGTATTTGGTATTTAGTGAGTACATTAGGGTGGTCTGAGTCAATGACTTTTACTAATTAACAAAAATGGCTTCAAAGAACATTCCTACTACCAGTGTCTGAAATGTGTCTGCTATTTTGTTAATAAAATAATCATATTTATATATTGGGTTATATTTTGGTAATAGTATTTTTATAATAGGACACATATGTTCTATAATCTAGACAGTCACATTTATGTCTTAACTTACTCATCTATTTCATTTTTAACAAAGAAAACCTCAAAATTAGCATGAGTCACATGATTAGAATCTATTCCTGAAAATATGTATGATTTAAGTCAACATCCAAAGAGGTCAAATGCTTAATTCAATATTCTTTATTTCCTTCCTCACTGTTGAAATAAATTCTATAAAGTAGTTAATCAATTATTTGAAATTTTATTTAGTTAATAATTTCTATTAAATTTTGAAGTTTTATATCACATTTATGATGTGTAATGTTATTTTAAAAGGTTTCAATGATAATAACTTCATTTGTATAATAAATTTAAATAATTAGAAAAGCTGTCATGAATAAAGAGTATAGTTGATTTACCCTAATACATTTGGTAATGATACATTACCATTATATTCTGTTTGATCTCAACAGAAACCAGTGACTTTGTAAGCATGATTTTAATAAGAGTAATAACTGAGTATCAAAATATTCTATGATGATGGGTGACATAATGTAAAGCCAGTTGTAACTGGAAAATCTAGGGTTTCACTACAAGAAGCAAGCTTCAGTTTGAAGCAGGAACAGACTGCAGCTACCTTCTTGAAGTTTTGGAATCAATCTAAAAATCTGTAATTGGTATTTATTTTACCTTTCTGATTCTTGAGATAGGATCTGAGGAAAGGTGGTACATAAAACTGCTGGCTATTTCTCTACACTCTTCTGAGATTTGAAGTTATACTTAGCTTCTTTACTTGTGTGTGGAGGTCATGTAAATATCATGGATGAAGTCAGTGTGTAGGGCAGAGACAATTCGCAGGATTCTGATCTATCTTTCCACCATATGTATTTAGGGAGTAAACTCGGGTTGTCCCCACGGATATCTAGTTTCATTACTTTGAAACATCTTGTCAGCACTATTTCCTCTTCTGAACTGAGATTTTCTGCTGTTTATTCTCTGATTTCAAATATTGTTTCAGATCCCCCTTTCCCACAAATAAAAATCACAGTCTCTTGTCTTTTGAAAATGATCTTGTGAAGTATTGTTATCATAGTGTTTTATGATGGAAAGATGAGGAGTACCAGGTGAAGAAAGGGACTTAGAATTTTCAAATTTTTAATGGTTTCTACCACAGACTCTCTAGTTTGTTGACTGTCTCTCTTGTATCCATCTTAGTAGTTAACTTTCTTGAATATAAGTGAATTTTCTAACTCTCACCATTCTTCTTGTGTGGAAAGTAATTGATGTTTCAATTTTTTTAAATTGACCTAATAGGTATTTTAAGAGGTAAATGTAGAAGTCTATTTATATTACACAACTTTTAACATTTTTCTATACTTGTCATTATTTACTGACTATTCATTATAAATTATCCCATTAGTGAGCAACCTGCTCAGAAAGTTAACTAGGCAAGAAAATATTCTACAAATACATGCAATGTCATTATATAAAAACCACTGAACTTTTTAAATATTGCATGAGAAAAACCCCAAATATTTAATCTTCAAACACTGCACAGCAAGCATTTATTCTAAAACAATATATTAGAGATTGCATAGGATATATGCTACAATTTACTGATGTTTATCTGAGAATCTAGTATGATTGAGCACCCCATATATTATCTGGAAATCTAATTAATGATAAAATTTTTAAAAGTAAGGTTTTGGTAAAAACATTTAGCTATTCCTAACTTCAGCTTTACTGAAAAATTTTAAAGATCGCCATCATTTCTCACAAATAAAAGTGAAGCAGCAATCTGTCTATTTTATGACTTTGAACCGCAAAATACCATACTGCTCTAGGGAACCTTAATTAACAATGGAGAAGCTGTGTGGCCCATTTGAGGAATTCATCTCTTTACTTGTTTGTGTAATGTTTATGTTCAGACATAATAGTAAGTTTCCCACACCTAGTAATCAAATCTGAAATAGTACATATCTACTTACCTTTAATAAACAATCAGATTTTCCTTTATAACATTATACATATTATCTTTGTGGAAGGAGATTTTATAGCTTTCTTCTCTCTTGGTAAATCTCCCTAAGGAAATTTCATCTAATTCATTTACCTCATTGCAACTAAATCATTTGAGCAACTTAAAAACAATGCTTGATATTTGGTGCTAATTACCTAGGATATCCTACATGTTCCCCTGTGAGAAAATGTAAGGAACAATTCAAAGAGAGAAACAAAATATTGTAAATGATTAGTGCAGTCCCAAAGAGATCTAGAATGTAAAGGCACTCTCACATTCACTTCTATGGAAATTATGATTAAAGTACAATTGTCTAGCACAGAGACTATTACAACTGGAGAGAAATTTCAATGTACTAAAAGTAGACTCATTATTATGTATATGTAATATAATTCTTACACTGTTAGGTACTATTCACTATGACTTATCAGAAACAAAATCTACTGTTAGGTGTAATAACTCAAGTCCCATAACATTGCATATATTTTCTCTTTGTGACTTCAAAGTGGAGAAAAATTGAGAAAGAAATTGGAGTGTAACATAAATATATCCTTAAAATAAGTATTTAATTTTGATCTATTTACCAATCTTTAAAATAAGACAAAGGACATATTAACAAAAAAATCTGCAACCATGCTTTAAATTGTCCTACCAAACATCCAAGAGAATTAGGAATTTTTTTATTTTATTTTATTTTATTTTTTTTACAATACAATTCAGTTCTACATATCAGTCACAGATTCCCTTGTTCTCCCCCCTCCCGCCCCCTCACCTTCCCCCCAGCCCATCCCCCATTCCCACCTCCTCCAGGGCAAACCCTCCCCCAAGGACTGAGATCAACCTGGTAGACTCAGTCCAGGCAGGTCCAGTCCCCTCCTCCCAGGCCGAGGCAAGCGACCCTGCATAAGCCCCAGGTTTCAAACAGCCAACTCATGCAATGAGTACAGGACCCAGTCCCACTGCCTGGATGCCTCCAAAACAGATCAAACCAATCAACTGTCTCACCCATTCAGAGGGCCTGATCCAGTTGGGGGCCCGTCAGTCATTGGTTCATAGATCATGTGTTTCCATTCGTTTGGGTATTTGTCCCTGTGCTTTATCCAACCTTGGTCTCAACAATTCTCGCTCATATAAACCCTCCTCTTTCTTGCTAATTGGACTCCTGGAGCTCCACCCGGGGCCTGGCCATGGGTCTCTGCATCCAGATTCCCTGAGTCATTGGATGGGGTTTCTAGCACAACAATTAGGGTGTTTGGCCATCCCATTACCAGAGTAGGTCAGTTCGGGCTGTCTCTCCATCATTGCCAGCAGTCTATTGTGGGGGTATCTTTGTGGATTTCTGTGGGCCTCTCTAGCACTTTGCTTCTTCCTATTCTCATGTGGTCTTCCTTTACCATGGTCTCCTATTCCTTGTTCTCCCTCTCTGTTGTTGATCCAGCTGGGATCTCCTGCTCCCCCAAGCTCTCTTTCCCTCAACCCTTGCCCTTCATTTCCCCCACTCATGTTCAGGCTGTTCATGAAGATTTCATCCATTTCTCTGTCATTGGGCGATCCCCGTGTCTTTCTTGGGGTCCTGTTTTCCAGGTAGCCTCCCTGGTGAAGTGAGTAGCAGTCCAGTCATCCTTGTTCCACATCTAGTATCCTCCTATGAGTGAGTACATACCATGTTTGCTTGCGGAGCTAGTCATAGGACTATGTGGCTGCAGTGCCAACAGTAATCTACACAGTGAGTTCCCAGTCATCCTGAGATGTACAAGATTGTCTAAGAAAAAGAGACGACAGAAGTAGAAATACACAAGGAAATTATTTCCTGCTTTTAGCCCTGAACAACAGTTTCCCAGTGTAAGAAAAGAGATAATAGAAGTAGAAATACACAAAGAAATTATTTCCTGCTTTTATCCCTGAACAATAGTTTCCCAGTGCCAAGCATCTGAATGTCATTCATAGATTTTTTTTTCTGTTACTAAGTTTCACATTAATGGAAACACCAAATACATACTCCTTATTTTCTTTTATCAATGTTCAGATTACTAGTGAAAATCACCCAGGCCTTGATTGTTTTGTTGTATCAAGATCTGTGGTATAAAGTCTCCTACTGATGGAGATTGTAGTACTAGATTCTTTTGGAAACCTGATACAAATGTTCCTGTATATTTGTTGATGTCTGATTCAAACTTTCTTAGCTATAATTCTTAGAGCAGAATCCTGGATAATGAGATCTTCAATGGAAATTTTTTTAGACTTATATCACTTTCTATTACTGATTCAAAGTATAGCGGTCTCATTTCCCTATTATTTTTTTTTCACACCCAGGCAACTTTATTTA